TCTCTGCCGAAAAAGGAAGCTGGTCGGCAGCGCGAGGAGCTTGGCAGCGTCCCGTTCCCTATTGAGAGAACATAGGTTACACCAGTAACCAGAGATGTTCTCTTTCATAGGTTCACTCAACGCTGCGTAGCTAAGAAGCAGTGGATTTGTAGGCTGCTGTATCACGTGCCGTTTGAACTGACGCGCTACAGCAATCTGTCACATTTCAAAGAGCCAAAACGTTGTTTATTGTGTGAATCTCGTAAAAATATTGACAGAATCTGACAGCTGTGGATTTGTTCCATATCAAAAGTAACCTTCTCTGTCTTGTCTGTCGGTGTCAGTGTCCTCTTTTTCCGCTATTTTTCTGTGTGAAAAGGGTCATTTGCGTGAGTCTCACGGTCAATGCGTGAGTTGGCAGCTCTGCCTGCTAGTAATCTCTATTAATCTCCAGTATTATTAAATTGTTTGATACAATATTGTTTCATTTGATATTATGTAAATATGAATTTTTATTTTATATTGGTTTTATTATTACCATATGTTACTTGTATTTATATTGTTTAAAGATTTAAGTTAATATTGTGTCCAGTTTGGCCCTGTAAATTAAAGGGTATTATTTTTTTATAAAGTGTGTACGGTTTCATTTTCTTAAGTACCGATTTAAGAACCGTTTAAGCACCGGAACCGTTTAAAAAATACCGAGTAGGTACTGGAATCGGATAAAACCCAACCGATACCCAACCCTAAATAGGAGTAAACACCCCTTTCACTCGGATCGATTAAGGCGTTTGCATGAAGGCTTTCAGTGCGATTGAGCGTCAGTCCCATTACTAGCGGATTATGTGGTTGCGTGTAAACGTGTCCAGTGAAGGAGCTACTCCTGAAGTGTGACGGGACTCACTGTTCTTCTGGCTGCTCATCTTCAGCGCCAGGTTCTCCTGCCGGAGCTTGTGGTTCACCTGCTGCAGGTACTTGATGTAGTCGATGGCTTTGCGCAGAACACCTGACTTATGCATCTGTCATTCAAAACAGCAATCATTTCATTTAATATTCAACAATAATATTGATCTCCTGCATTGACACCATTATATGAGACCTGAACTGAGCTGGACGATGACATCACGGTCAGCTGCTTTGAAACAGTCTGTATTGTAAAAAGCACTGTATAAATACATGCATCAGACCCTCGTGAGCTCCCAGCATGCACTGCGGCCACACACACCTTGGCGTCGTTGCCCATGACGAGGTCGCGCAGCTCCAGGATCTTGTCGTTGATGGACGAGCGGTAGCGCTTCTCGATGATGTTGTGTGTCGTGCGTCGCTCGCCCTCTTTCACGACTCCTCCCGGTCCTGTGGTAACAGCCAATCCCTGATCCAGGACCACCCTGGCTCCGCCCCCAGTGTGGGCGGAGCCCGACGACAGCTGCTTGATTGGCAGCTTGTCTCCGCCCCCCATCACCATGGGAACGGTGGTCAGGATGTTGCTGCTCATCAGCGTCTGTGAAAGAGAGCGACGACACAACCATAAAGACAACATTCTGACATGGACAAGCATTTATTTCACGAAGCGTCTTATGTTCCAGTTAAAGGAGTAGTTCACTTTAAAATGAAGAATACAGTCGGAAAGAAGAAAGAGGGTGAGTAAATCATGGGCTAATTTTCATTTTAAAGTGAACTACTCCTATTAAAAACGATGTGGCTTTATATATAATGTTACGAGATTTAGTCACAAGCTCTTTTTAATACTTTTCATTGTAAATATTTGCTAAACCCAAACACAGGATGACCCTAACCCTCGCTAAAATATGAGGTTTATGAGGTTACGAGACACAAGTTGTTGTTTTTTGAAGGTCAGGTATGGTAACCCATACTCAGAAATTGTCCTCTGCGTTTAACCCATCCAGTGAGTGCACACACACATTAGGAGTAGTGAGTAGTGAACACACACACACACACACACACAAGCCTTGCTCAAGGCACCTCAGTCAAATCCTGTTGCTATTGAGACTAGAAAACCAAACCTTCAGGTCACTAGTCTGACTCTGAGGGGTTACGCATTACAAGTAACATGCATAATGTAATCGGATTACTTTTTTGATGTAACGAGTAATGTAACGCATTACAAGTAACATGCATTATGTAATCGGATTACTTTTTTGATGTAACGAGTAATGTAACGCATTACAAGTAACATGCATAATGTAATCGGATTACTTTTTTGATGTAACGAGTAATGTAACGCATTACAAGTAACATGCATTATGTAATCGGATTACTTTTTTGATGTAACGAGTAATGTAACGCATTACAAGTAACATGCATAATGTAATCGGATTACTTTTTTGATGTAACGAGTAATGTAACGCATTACAAATAATCTGGATTACATAATCAGATTACTTTTTGATGTTACAAGTAACATGAGTTACTACATTTAAATAACACAAATACATTTATTTACAGCTAAAAAAGTTACTGCAGATTTAGTATTTTGAAGAACAACAGTCACAGTAATAGTGCGGATTGTAGCTGAAACACAGCTAGTGATGGATGAGGTCCACTATAGTGGACAGATGGTTAATCAGAATTTCCTCCCAATCTAAAATCATTTGGAAAATCACTTGGGAAAATTTAACAATGACTCCTTAGATGGTACAACATTTTTTTTACCTGCAGAAATCTCCTAGGATAGAAGGATTGGATGGATATTCCGGGACAACTCGAAAATTCTGACTGGCCGTCGGCCATCTTGGTTTGGAGAAAAAAAAAGTTTCCACATACAAAGGCTTGCCACTGGGTGGCAGTGTGTAGGAGGATGCGTTAGGGTCCACTGGAGTGGTTGATGTGCACCTATGCCATCAAAACCCATGCATACGCATATTACGCAATTAAATGCTTTTTAATATCTGTCAACTGGAGCGACTTCTATGCGTGAAAGGGTTAAAATGATAACAAAAATTTCAATAAATAAAGAACCCATTATTTAACAGTATTTTCTTACAACAATGTAACAAATATATAAGCAATTTCAGTTTATTATTTGATAGAAAATAAAAAAAGACTTGTAAGATATTGCTATTTCTGGCTGTTGGTGTGGTGTGCCGGCTGTTGGTGTCATGTGACGTACTGGAACCTGCAGAGCGGTGGTCTGGATGGGCGCGGCGAGGGTCGTGATGCCCGTGGGGTTCTGCACGGTCGACAGAACCTGCGTCCCGTCCGGCTTCAGTGTGGTCAGGACCAGAGAGTCCGTCTTCAGGATCTGAGGCTGGTGCACCAACAGCTGAGGGCCAATCAGAACGCAGTTACACTATATACAGGCTGTGAACTGCAGAGGGGAATTGTGGGTAAATGTGTGACCTACAGGGGACATGGTGTGCATGGGCGTCGTCGACAGCGTCTGGATGGTCTGACCGGTCGAAGTCAACACACGCTGGTGCTGGATCGTCATTGGCTGGACCTGCGGTGATGTCATAATGCTCTGCATCTGCGGCTGGAGGACTGAGGGGAGATAGAGCTGTGTGAGGAGGGCTCGTGTGTGTACTTTCCTCATGTGTGTGTGTGTGTGTTTCTCACCCTGGAAGCCCGTGCCGTGGTTCTGCTGGCAGATCACCTGGTTCTGGATGAATCGGGACGGGTTGGTGGTCGACGTGAGCATCACCGTCTGCGGCTGCGCCTGCGTCTGCACAGCCAGCGTCTGCATGGGGAACGTCTGCACCTGACCAATCAGAGCACTGCGTGAGACGTGGCGGCTTAATCAACATGAGTTATGTGTCTCGCACCTGGGTGAGCGTGAGGAGGTGTGGTCAAAGTGTGAGGAGGCGTGGTCAGAGAGAGTGAGGGGGTGGTCATGTGTGATGGGTGTGGTCAGAGAGTGTGAGGGGTGTGGTTAGAGTTGAGGGGCTGTTGTCAAGAGAGTGTGAGGGGAGTGGTCAGAGTTTAGAGGGTGTGGTAAGAGTTTGGGAGGTGTGGTCATGTGTGATGGTGTGGTCAGAGTTGATGGGGTGTGGTGAGAGTTTAGGGGGAGTGATCAGAGAGTGTGAGGGGAGTGGTCAGATAGTGAGGGGGTGTGGTCAGAGTTTAGGGGTGCGGTCAGAGTCAGGGGGTGTGGTCAGAGAGTGAGGGGGTGGTCAGAGTGTGAGGGGGTGTGGTCAGAGTTTAGGGGTGTTGTCAGAGCGTGAGGGCTGTGGTCAGAGCGTGAGGGCTGTGGTCAGATAGTGAGGGGGTGTGGTCAGAGTTTAGGGGTGCGGTCAGAGTCAGGGGGTGTGGTCAGAGTGTGAGGGGGTGTGGTCAGAGAGTGAGGGGGTGGTCAGAGTGTGAGGGGGTGTGGTCAGAGTTTAGGGGTGTTGTCAGAGCGTGAGGGCTGTGGTCAGAGAGGGAGGGGGTGTGGTCAGAGTTTAGGGGGAGTGGTCAGATAGTGAGGGGTGTGGTCAGAGTTTAGGGGTGTGGTCAGAGAGTGAAGGGTGTGGTCAGAGTGTGAGGGGGTGTGCTCAGAGTTTAGGGGGTGTGGTCCGAGAGTGAGGGGGTGTGGTCAGAGTTTAGGGGGTGTGGTCCGAGTTTAGGGGACGTGGTCCGAGAGTGAGGGGGTGTGGTCAGAGAGTGAGGGGTGTGGTCCGAGAGTGAGGGGGTGTGGTCCGAGTTTAGGGGACGTGGTCAGAGAGTGAGGGTGTGTGGTCAGAGTTTATGGGGTGTGGTCAGAGAGTGAAGGGTGTGGTCCGAGTGTGAGGGGTGTGGTCAGAGAGTGAAGGGTGTGGTCCGAGTGTGAGGGGTGTGGTCAGAGTTCAGGGGGTGTGGTCAGAGTTTCGGGGGTCTGGTCAGAGAGTTTAAGGGGTGTGGTTAGAGAGTGAGGGGTGTGGTCCGAGAGTGAGGGGGTGTGGTCAGAGAGTGAGGGGGTGTGGTCCGAGTGTGAGGGGTGTGGTCAGAGTTCAGGGGGTGTGGTCAGAGTTTCGGGGGTCTGGTCAGAGAGTTTAAGGGGTGTGGTTAGAGAGTGAGGGGGTGTGGTCAGAGAGTGAGGGGGTGTGGTCAGAGTGTTATGGGTGTGGTCAGAGTGTGAGGGGTGTGGTCAGAGTGTGAGGGGGTGTGGTCAGAGAGTGAGGGGTGTGGTCAGAGAGTGAGGGGTGTGGTCAGGCTCACCTGTGTGATGGGCTGTGGTCGAGGCTGCAGCAGCGGCGGTGTGCGTGTGTGTATCTGCGTCTGTGTGTGTGTGTGTGTCTGAGTCTGTGCCTGTACCTGCGTCTGTATCTGTGTGTGTGTCTGTGTGTGTGTCTGGCTGCTGGTCTGCACAGGTGTGTGTGGGGGGGTCAGGATGGCGCTGGGGGCCGTCAGTGGGAGGGGCCTCACGGGGGCCACAGATCCGCCCCCCATCTGGTCCTCAAAGAGATCCGGGAAATCCCCCTGATTACTGACGAACTGCAGCATCTCTGACAGACACAAACACACACACACACAATATTACAACATGTTGGGTTGTGACTGTTGTGTGTAGCACATGCTGAAATCATGAAGAGCCTCTAAGCCCTCAGTGTTCATTTCGTTTATTATAATTAATAATTTCATTATTTTCATCAACGTCATTTTCTCACAGGCGATAAAAAGAGACGATAACTAAATAAAAACCAGTTTTGGATGACAAAAACTATAACGAAAATCATATGATTTGGGTGAATGGACAGATACACACAAACCCAATGCCGTCTGTACACTTAATATTAATCAAACAACAGAAGAAAAAGAGAAAAGCACTCACTGCTCTCTAAAAGCTTTAATAAGGATTAATTATATTTAATTTATAGAAATAAATATGTCTGTTTGAAAGAATAAAGAATTATGAATGCAAGTTGTTATAAAAATGCATGTATCATTCATTGAAAAGAAGACTGTGCTTTAGGAGAAGTGCTTTTATTTAGTTACGGTAGTTAAATCTGTGTCTGTATCGCATGTTCACACACTTTAAAAGCATTCATATTAACAGGTGAATGGATGTTTTCTCCAGGGGAAATCACAGTGAAGGCCGTAGACGACTGATGTCAGTGATGTGAAGCAGTGATGACTATCATGAACTGATAATGAACACACACTTCATTATTACAGAGGCTGTGTGGAGGTGAAAGGGGCGGAGCTTTAATAAAGGTCAATTGCTGTCTAGCACACTCCCGACCCTGACCTTTGACCTGAGATAATGAGATGAAGGTCAGTGACTCAAGGCCAGTGCTGATAACACACACATCAGACCTTGTGTGAAGCACTGATTTACATCATCACCACAGTCACACACAGGACTGATCAAACCAGTGTTTCCAGTGCAGGAATGCCCCGTTTCACCACAAACCAGGCGAAACTCACGCCTTCTTCATTCTGGTGAGATTCGGCTGGATAATGATAATTTACTGTTATCATTTATCTGATATTATCTTATAATATATCTGAAAGCCGATTAATAATGCATGTGTCTTCAGATTCACTGTTCTGCATGATGTTCCTAGTTCATCATTTATTCATTAAGAAAAACATTGATGCATTATTACCAAAAACAACTTTTTTTTTTTCTCGTATTATTTTCATAAGCAATATAGTTTAAGTGAAATCATTATTGAGTATTTTATTTACCCATGGCACAGGCATTTTTATTTGTATACGTGTCGTTAGGCATTATTTTGTTTCTTTGTTAGGCGATTCTTTTATTTATTATTAATTTGTCAAATTAATTTGAAAGTTGCTGAGTGTTACACTGGTTCACTATAGGCTACTGTAGTGTGTGTGATTTAAGGAGAGCTTTTAATGGCGAGAATTTTGTTTTTGTAATCAGACTCTCAAAAAAGTACTTAAAAATGTTGATTTATCTGCAAATACAGGTGAAACTCAAAATTAAAATATAGTGCAAAAGTTCATTTATTTCAGTAATTGAACTTAAAATGTGAAACTAATATATTATATAGACTCATTACATGCAAAGTGAGATATTTCAAGCCTTTATTTGTTGTAATTGTGATGATTATGGCTTACAACTATTAAAACCTTTTCACAATATTCTAATTTTGACTTTGGGTTTTCATATCTGTAAGCCATAATCATCACAATTATAACAAATATAGGCTTGAAATATCTCACTTTGCATGTAATGAGTCTATATAATATATTAGTTTCACCTTTTAAGTTGAATATACCTTTTAAGTGAATAACACCTGAGAGTGGACACACACACACACACATTCTCATTCACACAACGACGGTCAAATAAACACACATTACTCACTATCACATCAACGTGCAAATGAAAATAATAACCACACACACACATGACATGAGTGTGTGTGTCTATAGAGAGGAACACTGAGACACAGGAGCGGAGTGTGTGTCACATGATCCTTCACAGAGAGGTGTGTGTGTGTGTGTCTGATCATACACTCTTCATCTGCACACAACACACTCCTTCAGGAGAACTAGAGTCAGCTCATGCTGCAAAGCGGATGATTAAACCATCAACTATATACTGACTGACAATCATCTGATGTCAAGATCATCGTGTGTGTGTGTGTGTGTGTGTAACATTTACTTTCATCCCTGCCTTTCACTGGATTACTGCAATCCCAGTTCAGTTTACATGCGTATCAGTTCATGCGGCCCTGAATCACACACACAGCCTTGATAAATAATCACGACAACACCAACAATAACACTAATAACAACAACAGCACATAGCCTACAACACTAATAGCCACACCAATAACAACTACCATAACACCATTAAATAACAACACTAATAATAACCACCAATAATAGTAATAACAACAACACTTACAACACTAACCCTAACAACATCGTCAATACTAATACGAATAACAACACAACTACTAAGAACTACAAACACTAATAACAACACTGATATAATCTGATCATAAACAGGAATAAGCGCATGTGTATCAGTATACTGGATCTGTGACGCTCTTAAAGTGACAGTGGCCTAATAAACCTGTGTCTGTCTGTGTGTGTGTGAACGTTAACCAAACAAAGGAAAACATCACTCGCTGCTCTTGACTGAATACCTGAATGTAACTTTAATCTATATTTAAACAGTGAAGACTTTGCACTGCTATTTATAACATTTATTAATTATTCATTTACTCTACCTGAAAATAACTGTTGGACCTACCTGTCAAACAGTTTATTATATTTGTATGTTTTTTAGTATGTGTTTGTGCTATTGCTCGTAATTTTATCATTTGCTCTTATTGTATTACTGACAGTTTACTTTAGTCTTTTAACAATATTTTACATTTAAATGATTTAGGCTAGTCATGTTTGGTGTCACAACCTTATTTTTTAAGGTAACTTTTGGATCAAGAACAACTCTTTTATTGGTTTTATTTTTTTACTACTTTTTTTTTTAGGTGAGCCGACCGGGCCGGTGGAAAAAATCCTTAAGGTTCAGCCCTGAATAATAACACTAAAAACTATAATAACACCAATTAAAAACACTAATAACAACCCTAATGACAACAATAACACTAGTGACACTAATAACAACAAACAAAAACACCAATAAACAACACTAATTACACCAAAAACAATTCAAATAACAACCCTAATAACAATATTAACAACGATTACACTAATAACAACACCTATAAACAACAACAACACAAATTTCCCCCAAATGAACACTAGTAACATCAGTAATAACACAGTCAGTACACTATCTTTATCCTGCACTCTTTGATTGACCAGACACTGACACACACATGAAGATGATGATGAAGAGTTCATCATCATCATCATCATATGAACAGCCAGTCCAGACTCAACTGGTTTCTTTGCTGCCATGGCTTACAATAATAATCCAGTACTTTTACGTGTTATCTGAAGATTTACTGTAGATGAATCGCACATGATGGACACTTTCACAGGGCAAACAATACAGAAAAACACTGATCGGAACACACACACACAGAACTGAAGGACATCATCATCATCCTCTCTCACCGTCGATGTCTCCCAGTGTGAACTCATCGCCCAGTTCGGCTAAGCTCGGGTCCATCGTGTCCATGAACTCGGAGGCGTCCATCCTCGCGGAGAGTCGCGAGTCTGTCGGGTTATTCGCTCCTCGACACTCGCTCACAGCATCCACACACTCCCTATGTTCACTCGCTCGGTTCCGCGGTCGGACGAGCGTTTACCGACCAGACGCGGCCATCTTGCGCCTCAGCAGTGACGTCATTCACAAACAGTGAGAATCACGTCTGATTGGCTCGCGCTCGGCGATAGCCGTCGTAAGATCGGGCGCTGTTGTCCAATCAGATCGCCCGCTCGAGCGTGGCCTGATTGTACGTCGATGAGCAGAGGCGCTCTAGTCATTTGCATTCGCCCCGCCCCTCAGACTAAGTCCCGCCCAGGCCGCTCTGAGTGAATGAACAGGTCATGAATATGTAATGAGCAGACCGCGGGTTGGTGAGAGGTCAGTTAAATATGTAAATAAGGCTGAAGAGTCTCTTTGTGTGTGGTTACATCATCATCATCATCTTCACACAACCTAATTTTAGCGCTTTTACCAGCAGAGACGATTTAAAAGTTAAATAATGTTTATCTATTCTTATTATTAAACAGCATTTCTGACCAGAATACCTTTAAAAGTCCAGAGAACAACCTACAAATACCTTCTGAAAATATATCTTAACCATATTCCTGCCAAAGTACATTGCGTGTTATATGAAGTTGACATTATGTTTTATGATCAGTTGTCATAAGATTATGAAAGGTTATAAACCAACTTCTGTCTAAAGCATGCTTCCCAGTTTAGATATATTTATATGTCAAGTTGATAACACTCCGTAAACAACAAAAGTCTGTCAACAGAACACAGGGTTTATATGTTGGAGGGAGATCATTTGTATTGTTATAATTTTAACATATTACCTAGTTTTCTGTCTTATAACCCATAATAAAATCAAATTGGCAGTCCTTTCAGAAACTCCTTTGTAGACTCATAAATCAGTAAACTATATCAGTAAAATCTTGTTTCCTTGAAAATACATCAACATTTTTTCCAAAATCACCCCAAAACAAAATAATAAAAAAATAAAATATCACGAAACGCTGTTAATCAGGAGGGAAGAATCAAAAGCATGATGAGTTTCAATGCTGGGTTATTGAGAATAAAATAAGTAATATTTTCTCTCTTGTAAATGTGAGATATAATTCCAGTATTCCAGAGTTCAGGCTTTAACTTGTGAGATACCGTCAAATGTGTGTGTGTGAGTGAGATACCGTCAAATGTGTGTGTGTGTGTGAGTGAGTGAGTGAAGCGCTAGTATGATCATTAAAAGCCTCAGTCTCAGATTCTTCAACGTGTTTATTTAAAAAACACACACACACACACACACACACACACACACACACACACAGTGTTCAGTCCACATCTGATCTCACCAAGCCAGAGATCAACACGTCACACACTGATCAAACACACAGTTCAACCTGGAGTTCACTCAAATCTGCTCAATACACAACATGTTTTATCATAAATGAGTGAAGAACACACCGTTTAAATAGCAGGTTTTATATCAAAACTAGTTGAAAATGTGATTTTCATGTTGAAATGCATCTATGAATCTGAATGAAGTGGTCAGATCAGAGAGAATAAGTGCTGAGATAACTTCATTTGTTCATCAAAGTTCGAGCTGGAGTTCACTAAAACGTGTGCATCTTCAATGAGAGAAGAACTGAACACACTGTTTTGAATGCAGGTTTATATCAATAGGTAAAACTAGTTTTAAATGTGCTGTTATTGCTGAGAGTAGAGGCGAGAGTCCTTCACTTGTTCCAGTGGATCTCGTAGGAGTTGCGTTCGCTGAAGCTGTTCTCCGCGGACTGCACTTTCTCCTTCACCACTTTGACGACGGAATCCTCCGGCCAGAACTACTCCCCGCCGCCGCTCGCCCGATCTCGCTCAGGATGCGCGCGGTCGTTCCGATGCCGTTCAGTGCGGTCGAACTGGGCCACAGCTCCGCCCCCAAGCCCCGCCCCAAGCGCTGACCCCGCCCCCACAGCCCCGCCCACTCCCGCAGCCACACCCACCACCACAGCCCCCATCGCCCCCATCGCCCCCACCTGCTGCAGAGCTTCCAGCGCGGCGTCGCGCGGCCCCGCGGCCTCGGCTCCGGCCAGGGCCCCCACCGCCCCCCCGACCCCCCCGCCCGTCACCGCTCCCAGAGCCACCGCCGTCTGTCCGCTCGCGGCCGCCACGAGAGCGCCCGAGGAGACTCCGGCTAGCCCCGCCGACCGCAGCGCCTGCCGTCTGCTGCCCGCTCCACTCCTCCACACTGCAGAGAGAGAGAGAGATGAGAGAGAGAGAGGGAGAGAGAGAGGAGAGAGGAGAGAGAGAGAGAGAGGGGAGAGAGAGAGAGAGGGAGAGAGAGAGAGGGAGAGAGAGAGAGAGAGAGAGGGAGATGAGAGAGAGAGAGAGGGAGAGAGAGAGAGAGAGGAGAGAGAGAGAGAGGGAGAGAGAGGGAGAGAGGGAGAGGAGGGAGAGAGAGGGAGAGAGAGAGAGGAGGGAGAGAGAGAGAGAGAGAGAGGGAGAGAGAGAGAGAGAGGAGAGGGAGAGAGAGAGGCTTAACAATATCTTTATTAGACCATTTGTCCTTTTACCTCAATACAATTTTCTTACAAAAAATGTCATTTCATAAATTAAATACCTATTTCTACACATTTAAAAACAACATTTCATTTTCTTCAACTTCACAAAGTACTCCCCCACTGACCAAAATTTCAGAAAACATTACAATGTCACTAACCAATTTATTAATATGTATACTCTATCTTGATTCTTGCTGTTATCATCCCTTTTAGTACCATTCAGCATTGATTGGACCTGTACCTAACCTTTTATTTTTTCTGGTTTTCCCATATGGACAACTTAGCTGATCCCAACAAAAAAATTCAGTAAACACTTTTTCCTCCTTTCTTGAAAGTTATAAATTGGACCACTTATAAAATTCTGATAAGAAAAATTCTCCCCAAAACTTTATAAAAATTTGTGTTAAAAAATTAAAACATTTCCCTCCAATCTAAAACAATCAATAAATAAATGATTAACCGTTTCTTCTAAGCACAAAATAAACACTCTGTCCCCACTGCCGGATTCAGGTGTGCCACGTGTCTGTTTGTAGCTATAGCCCCGAACATCAATCTCCACTGCAAATCAGCAGTACGCTTTTCAACAGGAGACTTATATAGAGACCTCCAACCTGCCTTAAGTTTGTCCCAAACACTTCTGACCACCTCCAAGTCTTTCACTCCTCTTAGCACAGTCTGATGAGTAACCTTTACACACGTTACATAGAGTTCTTTCTTCTTAATATCTTGAAAACTCCCCAACTTAGGGTACTCAAATGTTAAAATCGAATGTCCAGTTTCCTCCATCTCCTCTTGGACCGCAGCAGATACTTTAATGGGTGGAAATGTGTAGTGCCATTCCCTTCCTGTGACCAGTGCCTCTCTGCAAGCTCCAGGTAGAGCTGCCCACACCTCCTCCATTATTCGTCTCAGAAGTCGAAGAGATCTCAACCCCGTAACACTCTGCAAAGACTCCGCTGTTTTTCCATTCATCACCGCTTCTCAGATCCCCCAACTTGACATACCCAGCCTTCACAAAACAGCTTTCCACAGATTTAGAGGACAAAATCCTTGTTCTTATTAATGGATTATGGAACAGTGGTTCCCCCATTATCCAGTCCTCAGGTTGTAAAAATATCTCTGTGTACAATAAATGTCTTTTTTCCAAGCTGTTATCATTGACTTATAAAAAGGTGTCAACTCTTTCAAATCCACTTCATCACTTTGCAATAAAAAAAAGCTGCTTATCATACAATAAACCAGCTGTTTTTCCGCAGAAGAGCACAAGCAACATTAATCCACCCCAACGTTCTCCTCGTTACAACAGTCTCTGGGCTGCTTGCAATCGAAACGCATTTATGCGGCTTCGTACATCTATTAGGCTTTGCCCTCCTTCAATCACTGGTAGATAAAGTGCAGGCCGGGGAATCCATTTTTGACCAGACCAGAAAAAATCCACCAACTTCCTCTGAAATCTCCTTAATGATGTCATCCGGTGGCTCCAGCACAGTCAGTTTGTGCCATAACATAGAGGCAGTCAAGTTATTTATGATTAGGACTCTACCTCTATATGATAGTTCGGGCAATAGCCAGTTCCACTTAGACAACTTAGCGACAACCTTTCCAAGCAGACCCTCCCAGTTCTTTTCTTTATACTTTTCAGTACCCAAATACACCCCCAAAACTTTTAAAACCGCTTCCTTTCCCCATTTCAGTCTTTCGGGAAGTTGAGGTGGCCCCTTATCAACCCAAGACCCCACAGCAAACCCTTCACACTTCGCCCAGTTCACTCTTGGGCTGAAGAAGACTTTTCATAAAGGTTTAAATTTTTACAAAGTGTCCGAATATCATTTTGACCAGAAATAAAAATATTTACATCATCTGCATAAGCAGACACAAAATACCTTAGCCCCGAATTATCTCCTGGTATCATTATACCTTGTAACTCATTTCTTAGCTTACACAGTAAGGGTTCTATGGCTAAACTATAAAGTTGTCCTGATAGAGGACATCCCTGCCTAATTCCTCTTTTAACAGGGATTGGACAACTCAGACCTCCTCCTATCTTAAGCATAACTGAAGCATCTTCATAAAGCATTTTTATCCAAGAAATAATATTCTCCCCAAATCCAAAGGTCTTCAACACATTAAAAAGGTATTCATGACCTACCCGGTCAAAAGCTTTCTCTTGGTCAATAGATAAAAAACCCACATCAAGATTATTTGTAATAGATAAATCAATCAGATCTCTCATAAGAAACAAATTATCCATGATTGTCCGCCCAGGAATACAATAAGTTTGTTCACTCTCCACCACAACATGCAAAACATTTTTTAGTCTGTTAGCTAGACATTTAGACAAAATTTTATAATCTAGACACATTAAAGACACTGGTCGCCAATTTTTCAACAAGCCCAGATCTCCATTTTTTGGCAAGAGTGATAGCACAGCTCTTTGACAGCTATTTGGTAGACGACCTCTTTTAAAACATTCACAAAATACATTATACAAATCTTCTCCTAAGACACCCCAAAAGGCTTTGTAAAACTCCGCTGTTAACCCATCAATTCCTGGTGACTTTCCTGTAGAGAGCTGTTTGACCGCCT